TGGAAGTCCAATAATGTTTCGATTCAATTGGCTTGCTGCACAAGAATGAATGATCCAGTCAAGTTTAAGATTTATATCAGTACCAGTAATCCGAATCCTCTTTGTCTTACATGATGATCAAGGGCACAAATGACAACAGTATTAAGTTTTACTTGTACTTCTTGTCGCCTGCCTACATATACATATGTAGGGTTAGTATATACTTGCTAATACTCATCAAGGACCACCAGCCCGATAATAACAGGTATTGATTCAGTGGTCACACCTATGCACATCCAATACTCACAAATAAATCTTGCCACACAATCAATAACATTAGCAATTAGATCATGCGGTAAATATGCATGATCGAAGATACTGGAAAAGGTAAAGGGACTACTTACTTACAGCACAAACCAGAAGCAACCCAGAACTGGAGCGTGAGTGGTCAATCATCGTTCACGAGTCCATGGATGGCACTCGCTCTCTAAGGTTGGGTTGGCTATCAGAAAGCAACCAAACATTTGAGCAATGACAGTGTAGCAAGAGAAATCGTATTCAAAGATGCGAGACGCCAGGATGTCGATGGAGATAGTATTGTTCTGCCTCGAAAAGGAAAAGTGAAATCTTATGACAAGAAAACGCATCTCGGAGAGCTGCCCGTAAGTGTATTCGTCCCTTTGGTAGGGCATCGTCCCTTGGTGGCCTGTCGGAGCCTACGACAAGGCACACATTTCCACCGCCTAAATCCAGCAACTTATACCGGCGGAATACATTATAGCGAAATTGCAAAGGCAACTGATCAGGGGGGATCAGATTAAAGCCAAGCAGCTCAACAGATTCATTTTTTTCCGTCATACACACACGGTAAGCAGCTAGATTCCAAAGAGAATATTCTTCGGTAGTCTCTTGATACGCAAACATTAGCTTTTCATCGTCACTATCATCCAAGTCGAGGACTAAAGCCGTGCCCGCGAAGGGAAAGTCCTTGCCATTGAAGAAGGACAGTTGCCTCCAGTGTTGCCGTTTGGGTTCCTTCTCGGCCACATCAAAGCAGAACACCGGAGTATCGAGGCTGGAGACCAATATCTTAGTGCCCACAACAGCATAAGAAAAATAAGGACATTGACAGTCGAAGAATGGAACATCCGGCAGAGCAACCCATTTCTTGGATGTCCCGTAAAGTACCTCAAAAGTGGGAGGGATACACACAGGAAAGGGAAAACCGGAGAGAGCATAGAGATCCTTTTTCCCGTCGTCCCCGTTGAACTCAACCATAAACGGTTGGGTTTTGTTGCCAATGAATTCCTCGGGTATAATTCTGCGGCTGCTTTCAGAAAGGGGCTTAATGGAAGGATTTGAATCGACACTAGAATCTGTCTCAAACACATAAATCTTCTTACTTGCGGTCCTTGAGGGTGCTGGGGGTCTTTCAGAGGTCTCCAAGCCGCCGGCAAAAATGATTTGGGAGCCGAAGACGCCGCAGCCAGACCAGTGGCAAAGATTCTCGTCACGTATGGAAGCCAAATCCCTCAGCAAGGGCAATTGACCGGCACCGGAGGAACAAAGGTCGCATACTTTGGTTGTCACGAGCTCATCGCCGCCGTCAACAGTAGGAAGTTGAACGTGAATCTTACAGGAGCATGATAACAAATCTGCGAGATTGATGGCGTGGACATTGTAACGAAGGCTATCCTCCGCAACCTGTTCCGTGCAGAGATACAAAGACCGACACTCCTCAGACTCCACCCTCCGTCGTTTCACGTTCTGAGTCTGCGGCTCCTCCATCTCTCTGCCCTCAAACCCTAATTTTCTTTGTTTCTCTTTTACAATTTTCGGTCGGTTTGGGGCTTTTGCGTGTTAAAGGGTACATACAGGAAAAACCCAAAAACAATTTGTTATTTAATCCAACGGTTGGGAGTGACTTCGCATGCATGCTGTTGTGCTAGGAGAGCACCAAACCTGTTGAAACCAACTCAAGCTAACCCACAGGAAATTTATCAAATGGAAATGCAAGAACAAAATATTAAAGACACCAAGATTTTAACGAGGTTCCTCCATAGTCAGTGTAATTGGAGTACGTCCTCGGAGCAATAGGAGCTCACCCAATAATCCACTATCAACCAAATGGGAATTTACAAAGTATTGGCAATCTCACAACCCAAAAGCCCAATACACCTAATAGCTCTCATACACCAAAGATACAAATAGAGAAAGAAATATAATGAATAATTTCTTCTCTATACATATAGCTCAAAGCTATTACAACAACAACTACTTTGGTGGATGATTACTAACCAATTGAAGAGGAGCACTTTCTTCTTCCCTTCAAATAGGAGATGCAGCACCCTTTATTTTCTGATGCTCTCTATCTCCCTCTCTTCAAAACCGAAAATGGGCTGCTTCTCTTTCTCACAATTACTCCCAAAGGCAACCAACCTCACAATTATTAAGAGCAGCTCCAGCGGGAGCTATAACTCGGGGGACAGTGGGTTGAACAGTGCCATAGAGCCCGACGGGAGAGGTCCAGCGTGTGGCAGCCAGAGGGACAGGCCCAGCCTGAGGGAGAGGCCTGGCAACTCGTGCCAGCCCGAGAGCCCGAGTGGGTGTGACGTCAGGGCGACGTCACCCGCTTTTTTTAGGCGGACGGTATGAATCCTTTGTATTTCTGGGAAGTTGCAGAAGACGAAGAAGAAGATGAAGATTTGGAAGAAGCAGTGGGAGTCATCCACGACATCGGAGTCCGATCCTGTGCATCAGTGGGAACATAGATGGGTTTTACTTTATTTTTCTTCAACTTTTGTTTATGACCATCGGTGAAAAATGGAGTTCAGACATTATAATCAGAGCTAGCTTTTGGAGGAGACTGAGTTTTTACCTGCAGATGGATGAGTTTTGGACTATTGGCCCTGGATCCGTAGAGAAAAGGAAGAATGAGGAATATATAATATTAATTTATACAAATTAAATAATATAATATTAATTATAAATATAATAATAATAATATTTTATTATCAATTGCCAGGGCTATTCAGTGCAGGGGTGGAGATGCGAAAGGCAATTGCCACGGCAATTACTGTTCATTAAGGGCAGTTACTGTTCATTAGGTGGATTAAATAGTGAATAGCCTGGGGGGAGGGCTCCTACGCTGGAGTTGCTCTAAGAACCAAAGTCACGGGTGTTATGGCCAAAACAATTCACTTTAGACAAGGTGCCATATTTTCCTCCCCAAAACATGGAAGGGACATAATTATATTGTCTTTTTTCCTTTTTTCCTCCCCAAAACAAGGAAGGATGTTGTCCACCTTTTTTCTTTCCTTTATAATTTTTATAGCCAAAAGTTGGCCACTCGGCCACATACTCCAACAACACATGCATGCATAAATAAATGGAATAAAGCGCAAAAAAGGCATTACTCTTTTTAATAATGATCATTTCACGAGTAATAAATCATGATGATTGTACAATTATGTTTCCATGAACAAGAAGAAAAAGTTCCAAATGCTACTAAAGGCTTCTTCAAGTGCTCTCTTCCTGCTCATCATCGTACCAGTACCAGGCACGTCAAAGTTTGATAGTTGGAAGCTTAAGAGCATCGGTATACTGCACTGAATCGGGTAGATGTAATCAGGATCACGGCAACATTAAATATCACCACTGCCATATATAGGCGGAAATACAATACACCAAAAGATGATTACAGCAAGTTAACTATAATTAACGAAAATGCCTCCTATGAATGACGCAAGCTACTCTATACTGTACATATAACAACCAAGTACGGTTTCTGTCATTTAAACATCTCAAGGTGTTAGCATCCACGATGTTGCTCAGCAATTCCCGAAATACCAACCAAAAAATTATGATGAACTAAGTGGTTTTCTTAAGATACATACCAGTTTCCATAAGAAATGTCCTAATGTTTTTTTTTATTTAAAATATGAACCTTTATCTTGCATTATGTACTTGCCTTGAGCCCCAAGCTTTCTTAAGAATCTTGCGATGATACCTTTGGAACGAGTGCCATCAGCATCCATAACTAGCCAATTTCTCACTCTATCCACTCTTCTCTTTATTCCTGAGGAATGTCAAATGAGTGGTCTCAACTAAGAAAAGTCCTAATGAATTTATTAATTAAAAGATGTATTATACACAACAAGCTTTCTCAAGGATCTAGCGATACCTTAGGAACGAATGCCGTCAGCATCCATAACTATGACCTTGGACCTGTCCTACACACAGTACAAAACAATATATAGAACTCATTATTCATTACTCACGGCATATATGCTAACCAACGTACTTTCCCATAGTTTTAGGCATAAGATCCTGCTGTTAATTAGATGTGAAAGACTTGAAATTGAATGATTTTTATCCTTAGAATTTCCTCTCTCATACTATGTTTTACTTTAGGCAATTAAAAGGATTCTTGGTCTTTTCAGCCCCACTTAGGCAAAATTTTGATAAATTATCAGCGCCACCAAAGCGGGGAGCTCTGTTGGCTTCGGGTCTCCCTTTTTGGCCAAATATAAGGGTCTGGCCAAAAAGTAAGCAATATATATATTGCCTCAGGTCGGACATCAATGACACAGCATTCTCCTTCCTTGTCAAGAGCTCCAATGTCGACTGAGGAGATAAATCTCCAGCATAATCACTGTATGTCACACCCGATAAATGACCCTGCAGCATCTCTGATAAGAAATATAAATTTCTCACACAGTAGGATACGTCATCTCCAGAAAGCTTTCCGTTTCGAACAAAAAAGGAGAGACCTTTCTGTTTATGTGTTTTTTGTCCCCAAGCAAAATCTCTTAAGCTAAAATCTTTTAAATTTTGGGGGAAATATGTGTCAATTATCAGCTATCAATTGACGTTGGAAGTCCATTGGTAGATATATTCATCTCGTCACTGGAAGAGGTGTCACGTTCGGCTCATGTTCGGCTCATGTTCGGCTCTGTCTAATTGGAGTAGCTCTCACATTCAACTCACGTAAATGTGATGATGACGACATCGATGGCTAATTGAGCTTAAAATCACGTTGTTTGTATATTAAAATAAGGGGTGGAGAGTTGGCTTGTATAAGGAGGAAACTTGAGAGAGCCAACTTGAGTGCACATTGTTACAGAATTATCACTTATTTAGCTTCATTAACCTTCCTTGATTTGCTAATACAGCTCAGATCAACTTTCGAGCTAGAACACGAGTCAGGAGATGCCTACTGCAAGAAAATATCAACCTTTATGCTTCTGATAGATCGACATTCTCCTTGATTGTAAGTGTTGAGTCAGGAGATGGATCTTGGATGCCTTCCGTATCAGACGGTTGAGATTGATGCTTTGCAGCAGCCTGCAATACTCGGTTTTAAACATCTGAGGATGAAGGAGATGTTGGCAGTCCAATGCCGTTCGATTCCAATTTTCCAGCAGTCCATGAAAATGCCTGAGCGCCCAGTCTAACAGGAGCAAGCAGCAGCCTTCATGGAACATAACATAGAGACGACAATAAAACGACATCGAATCAGCACAATCTAAATAATGTGGTGTTTGGTTGTTTGACTCCAACAGCACGGTGAAAGACACAATCTACTGGGCCTAATGTAGTTAGCTTTACCTCACGTCTTGTTTAAAATCTTCTGCGGTGTCATAAGATGCCACCCACCGATAAATGGTCTGGTGGAATTGAAGAAAAGAGCAATGAGAAAGGGGAAGAAGAAAAAAGTACAGCACTCATTCTAGGAAGATTATAATACCTGACCAACGCCAACAACACCAATCAGTTGTAACGTCTTCTCCCACTCCGTATCCAATGAATCATGCTGATTAGAGATGAAGAAATCCGGCACAATTCACTAGCAAAATTTAACTGTATATATGGTGAAATTAGAACTGTACAGACTTGAGTGGAAAACAATTAGGTAATCCAATTTCTTTTTAGAGAGAAATTTAAGGCACATATACACACCTAGTAGTGCATACAATGCTGCAATCAATCCCTGCACAGAAGGTAGTTGCGTAAGTTAGCGAATGATGCACTTGAAATTGCATGGCAACTAAACATTTCTACAACACACAAAACAAAATCAAGTTTTCGTAATAACAAAAGACGGATCAATATAAAGTAGAAACTAATGAAGACAATTTGTCTTACCACACCAGACCCAAGAACTTGCACCGGAGAAGGACTGATATCCTCCAGAATTGCCTCAGCATCCTAAAATGATACAATTTTTTGCAATTGTGCATAAGTGAAAAGCTCAAATCTGGTCTTACAATTCTGTAAAAATGCGGCAGAAAGGGGGAAAACAGCAATAATCTCTGTGTTGAATGCAGTCATGATTATTGCTCTGGTTGTCAAACATATTTATCTCGTTCACCTCTTTTTCAACAAAGCTAAAAAAAATGGGTCCCCAACTCCACGTTACATATACAAGAGAACCTCAGCCACTGCAATCCAACAACGTTTTGAAAAGAAAGTAATCACATCGGTTATTATCAAGGGAATCAGATGCCATTCGTAGAAATTCACCAACCAGCATATATTATCATCTCTGTATTTATAGTAACTTACAAGAATAACCAGCTTCAAAGAGATAAATACCTCATTGAGTATGGTAAATGTTGTCTCAGGTTTGAGTTCCTTAATACGGAGACCATATTTCACCCAAGATTGAAAGCCACCTTGAACCAAGTACGGTTTCTGTCATTTAAACATCTCTAGGTATTAGTATCTACGAAATTGCTCAGCAATTCCAGAAATACCAAAAATTTATGATGCATTGAGCTGTTTTCTTAAGATACATACCAGTATCCATAAGAAAAGTGCTAATGATTTTTATTAATTAAATATGAATCTTTATCTTGCATTATGTACTTGCCTTGAGCCCAAGCTTTCTCAAGGATCTTTCAATACCTTTGGAAAGAGTGCCATCAACATCCATAACTATGACCTTGGACCTGCCCTACAAAGAGTACAAAACAGTATAGAACTCATTATTCATTACTCAAGCAGATGCTAATCATCACACTTTCCCATAGTTTTAGACAGGAGATCCTGCTGTTAGATGTGAACAACTTGTTACGAGCATACAACCCCATTCAAGTCCTTGGACATATATAACAATATACCTAAGGTCACCAGGGCAGTGCTAAAACTTGAATTTGAATGATTTTTAGCCTAAAGAATTTCCTTTCTCATATTTTTGCAGGCCAAAAAATTGTGATTGAAGTTCTTTAGGTGGAGAATGTGAGACACTTTCAGGCGTCCATGGTCACCAAATATGGTACTATCACTAAAGAACGGATAATTAATAGGTCCCAGTCCAAGATCTTCCTATGAACTTTTAGTAAGCTTCAAATTGGTATAGTTTAAGATATATAAATGCCTGAAACTGCTTACCTGAACAATCTTCAAGTTCCAAATAACAGCAGCAGTTAAGGTGTCATTAAGATCCCTTCCACTCTTCACTAATTTCCATACAGCGCCATCAGCCTGAAGTTTTTTGTTCAACAAGTTCAGAACAAAGGCACAAAAAGTATATGGAGAGAAAGGATATGACTGCTTTCACCCTAGCAAATCTGTAATACGATTACGTCATTCATATCTTCAAATTGCAATCTAATTATAAAGCCAACCTCAGGTAGAGCCACACTTGCATAGCGAAAGCGAGCTGCTCGTCGAAGATCAGGAATACCCCCTCTTTCTCTCAGAACCTTCATAAAGGAAATTCCAGAACCAATCATTGGCAAATTTGAGAAGCAAACACTTAGCAACAGTATTTAAAGTCTTATAATAGTATTAGCGCAACTAAATATAAAGGCCAAAAGTAAGCAATATCTTGCCTCAGGTCGGACATCAATGAGCACAGCATTCTCTTTCCCTGTCAAGAGCTCCAATGTCGACTGAGGAGATAAATCTCCAGCGTAACCACTGTATATCCACACCCGATAAATGACCCTGCAGCGTATCTGATAAGAAATATAAATTTCTCACACAGCAGGACAATAGAAACTTAAAAACAGTCTTCATTAGAACAAAAGGATACCCATACCATAAAATGGCTGAGGTGCCAAGAAATAGAACAAATGGAACGATTGGATCATTAGGGTCCAACCCAAGATTTTCCTCCAACCCCTCAATCGAAATATAAACCTGCTTTCACAGATTCAGATTCAGCTGACAATATTACTCAAAAAACTGTCATTACAACAGCGGCAAACTGAGGATATAAATGATTGAATGTATAGTTTAAGCGTAAAACGGAAAGTTTACCTTCTAGCGTAAGTTGTCAAACAGAATATACAGGAAACTATAACAAAGTGGGGCTGATGGTTTGGAAAAAAAAAAAGCATCCAACCGAAATCAACTAACCTGCTCTTTTTTTTCCAGAACCAGTTTGAAACTTACAAATTATTTAGAATAACTTACAACTCTGCAAACCGCAATCTTTTTTCTTTTACAGCTCAACCAAAAGGCTCTATAGACTGGAAGTGTAATATTAATACCTGTTGAAAAGCAGTTTTGGCAGGCCCCAAGAGCTCTACAAATCTCTTTTCAGACAAATTTAGCGCATCACTGATGTCAGGAGGAAGAAAGTCCTTGGCAGACTGGTAAGAACTAACAGAAAAGGAAGCCCCATTTGATAGAGAATCCTCCACCACAACAATTGAACGTCTCAAGACATCAATAGCAAAAACAGCTCCTTTACTTGTGGCTTCCTTAAAGTCGCTTGAAAAATTTGTCGTTTTACTACCACCATATTGTCCCACTTGATCCACCGTTGAAAACAATCCGCCAACAGTATTATCCACTGCTTCAGTTGCACTTTTAACAACAGTTGTTGTTGATGAAGTGATTGTATCTAGTGACGTTTTAACAGTATATTCTCCCTTATCAAGCGAAGCACTGAAAGACTTGCTAACCCCATCAAAGAAGTCCTCAATACTAGTTTTCACACTGGATAATTTATCACTATCCATGTCTAAGGAGTCGGATACAGAGGTGGGATTCCCTGGTGTTAAATCAGTTGCTGATATGCTTTCAGGTTCTATGGGTGCCGATAAGATACTTTCATTTTCAGTCGACGGATTAGTAAAGTCAACGAGTCCCTCATCAGGAGCCAATAGGCTAGAGGTGTCTACAAATTTCAGTTCCACCCTTCCCGGCAGGTGTTGTTCATACATGGTTCTAGTAGAGGAACTCCACATGTCTGAATACTGGCACTTAAGATGGTCTGATTCATTTGAGCAGGAACTCCTGTAAACAAAATCCACGGAGACGGATTGTTCTGCGCTTTTCACGAAGTTCGGATACAAAGACTTTGTAGCATGTGCTTTAAAGGAACCTCTTTGAAAATGCATTGCATTTGACAAGCCTAGGGAGCCCCTGCATTCCGCAATGCACCTGGCCTCAAAATCCTTCAGGAATTGGGAACTGGCATGCAACCCTCCATGTAAGTAAACCTGTGACATCCATTTGCATACATGTACATTCCAAATTCGGAATATCATAAAAACTTTGACCAAAATGTTACACAAATATGACATGATGCCAAACTAAATTACTTGTTTCAAATTCCCAGAAAATAACACAAGATGATCATAACATGCTTCATTACGTACAAACTACAAAAACACTTCAAGAGTTCAACCGCATCGAAAAACACCTCATTGATCCGTTTCTCATATTAAATTTTTCTTCTGAAATATTCAAACTGTTTGAAGTGTTTTTCTTCTAAAGTTTAATATTACGTAGGACTTATAGGTAAAAAACTCGTCTTTCTTCTGAAATTACGATATTCTAGAATACTCTAATTTGCATGAAAGCGAATTTGAATAAACAAGCCGACCACATACCAACCAATTAACTTAACTCACGTCGGCACATCAGTATAAATTAAAGGACCCTTTAAAGCAGCTTGCTTTGCATGCCAAGAAATTATAAGAAAAATCACAGTGAAGGGTCAGTCTTTGAGGAGCATGCAAGATCTTACCTGAGAAAGGGAAGACCAGCTTGAAGTGGCTGAGCAAACAGGCAGCATGGCCATATCAACCCGCCGACCAAAACTCAATTATTCAGCAACAAACACAATCAAATTCCACCAACACTTTGCTAAAATAAGCCTAAACTAACATTAAATTGCATCAAGCATCTGAAAAGTGGGTTTTCAATTTTGTGAAGGAATCGTTGAATGAAAGAATATAGAGATATATATATATATGATGATATGACGGGGAAAATCATCCAGTGAAAGAATATAGATAACTTCTTCTTTGCCTCTCGTTTCTGCGGTGGGGACATGTGCTTGTTTCAGGCGTTCTTGCGGGGGTTTGGGCTCAACGTCCCTCTACTTTTATGTATTCAGTTTTCCTTCCCGCGAGTTTTGGCCATTTTACATTTTATTTTTAATTTTTCACATAATAAAAAATAAAATACTCGATTTACGGATTTTTATACGTTTCACGATTTCTCTACTTGGAAGTAATGTATGTAATTTGGCAGAGATTTTTTCATGTGCCAAAAACACGAATTAATACACTACATGTTATAATATAATTGAAGATAATTTATTTTTTTAATTATTCATCTATTTATATTATAACATGTGGTGTACTGACTCTTGTTCCAATACCATAAAAAATAAATCATATTTTGTGTTGGTTTTAAGAGTCTATTGTGGTGTTTTTGAACAAAAGCAAATTTTAAGTTTTATTAAGAGCTCGTTTGATAACCATTTTAATTACATTCTTAATTTTTTTTTTAAATTGAAAACTTTAATGGCAATTGAAAATCAAAACCAAGCTAAATTTTAAAAACATTAAAGTAGGAGTTATTTGATAATAATTTTATTAAGTCAATTTTTTACTTATTAATAAAAGTTAATTTTGTGAGTTTTTGAAATTTAATTGTCCGATTTTAATTTTTATCTTTATACTAAAAATTAAAAAACAATTACTAATTATCAAATACGCTTTTAATCAAACAAGTAGTTTTTATTTTTATTTTTAAGACGTGCTACGTAAGAAATTAAGAAAGATTAACCATAATCAAAATTGTGACATTCTTACAAATTGAAAAATTGTATTTATTCCAATCCTATTTGTTGTTTAATGACAAACACACAAAACAATCTTGTTCTTTTTAACAAATAAGGAAACACAAAAGTTTTTTTTTCGATGTTTTTAATAAGAACAAATTAGTACCAAAATATAAATAAATAAACAACCATTAACCAAAAACAGTAAAAAGTACAGAAAAAAAAAAAAAACAAGTCATCGTTTATTATCTCGCGCTGCTCCTGCCGAGTATCACTTCATATTTCCGATGCCAAATCTGTAAGACCGGAGAAGCGGTGAGTTCTGCTGAGTGGAACGGGTCCAACCGACGTCCTTCGATGCCTGCCCTTCCAGTTCTCCGGCGCCTTCAATAATATCATTCCTCTCTCCGTCAGATCGAACTCCGCCTGCATCGCGCAGTAACAAAAGAGAGAGATATCGCATGGAATCAGCTGGTAATCTTCTTCAACCTTCAATTCTCTGATATGCGATGCGATCTAGAGCTTTTCAACTTCGAATGCGACCTCTATCATTTCTTTCTCTTTCAGCTTGCAAATTATTTTCTGTTCGAGAGTATGCGTGTGTAGATTATATGCTCTTAGTTTTCGTTCTTTCCTTGCGAGCTATGCATTTCATGTCTGTTTGTTTGTTGCATTTCGAATCGGATTCTGATAACTTAAACACCTTGAACACTGTCAATTTTGTCTGTTAAATTGACATTGAATTCTTATTATTGCTGCTGTTGTTGCATAAATATAAAGAGTTGTTTTCGACCTTTTGTTATGGAAGAGTGCACGATGACTATTTTGGAGTGCTAATAACAGCGCCCTATATACGCACACGCACACGCTTACTCGTATGTATATTGTGATGGTGCGTAGAGTCATACATCATACATGTTCGCTTTCTTTGCAAGGTTGCTTATGCTTTCTGTTTTATATTAAATACATTACAGGTGGTGGTATAAGGGAGACATCTGTTGTAGTTGTGACGTTGGACCCTGGTGAAGTATATATAATTGCAAGTTTGTCTTCCAGGCTCGACACTCAGGTTATACATGTTGATCCCACAACCGGAGTGCTTCGCTACAATGCAAAGCCAGGATTTGATGTTTTCAAATCCGAAAAGGAAGCATTGGAATACGTTACGAACGGATCACCCTGGTTGTGTAATACGACCTATGCACGTGCAATATTGGGTTATGCTGCTTTGGGCAGCATTGGTTTGCTTCTCGTGGCTACCAAGTTGACTGCTAGTGTTCCGAAATTGCCTGGTGGAGGGTGCATTTATACGGTGACTGAGAGCCAATGGATCAAGATTCAACTTCAGAATCCACAACCACAAGGGAAAGGAGAAGAAAAGAATGTTAATGAATTAACTGATCTTGACATTAATGGGAAGCACTACTTTTGTGACGCAAGGGATATCACTCGACCATTTCCTAGCCGTATGTGCTTGCGTGAGCCCGATGATGAATTTGTTTGGAACGCCTGGTTCTCGATGCCTTTCAAAAACATTGGGCTGCCGCAGCATTGTGTCACTCTTCTTCAGGTTTTGCTTCATTCTTGGTATCATCAAATTGGTGCTCAGCTGACTATTATCTTCTTTCACCTGATCCTTATCTTTAACCATCTGATTTCTTAGCCTACCACCTCGATTTAGTGATGATGATTGTTCGAGCCTATGCACGATATGCTCATTATATCCAACTGGTTTAACTCTGCATTTACATGTACTTATATTTATGTGCAACTCTTTGAGTATATATTTTACCACTGATAATGGTAAAGATTTCATAACTGTTGTATTAGGAAACAAGTTGTTGAACTTATCTATGCATTAGGTGCTCAATTTTGCCTTCATTGAATATGACTGACAAAAGAAGTTAAATTGTTGTTAAGATTTGAAGATAGCATATGGAATTATGTGATTAGATGTAAATTTAACCCTTTCATACCGTTCTCTTACTTGATATTAATGTGCAGGGTTTTGCAGAGTGTCGAAGTTTTGGAACCTTAGGGAAGGTGAAAGGAATTGTTGCTCTCATAGCTCGTCGTAGCAGGCTGCATCCTGGTACTCGGTACTTGGCTAGGGGATTGAATTCATGTTTTAGCACAGGTAACCTGACCTATTAAGTTATTAACAACTCTCAAACTTTTAATCTTTGAAGATACCCATGGTTGTGTCATTTTTGTTATTGATTTCCAGTGGAGTTTCTCAGAACATTGAGGACAGAAAGTAATTTAGAAAACAACATATTGATATTTTTTTTTATGAAATTCATTAATCTACAGTATTTCTTTTTCGTTTTGTTTGTATTATTTCATTTTTGTTTTGCTTAGATGGCTTCATCTTGTATTTTGTATTCTTCTCATTTAGGAGTACGAATTTACATTCTAAATGAAAAATATTCTCCTCTTACTTTATGTTTTAAGTGAACTTTTCATACTTATGAAGATGGCAAGTCTGACAGGAAATGAAGTGGAGTGTGAGCAACTTGTATGGATCCCTAGAAGGGCTGGTCAAACTGTTCCTTTTAACACATACGTGTGGCGACGGGGTACAATTCCAATTTGGTGGGGTGCAGAGTTAAAGATTACTGCTGCAGAAGCAGAAATATACGTTTCGGATCGCGATCCTTATAAAGGAAGTTCGGAGTACTACCAGAGGTTGAGTAAGAGGTATGATGCACGAAATTTTGACGTAGCTGTTGGGGGGAGTCAGAATAGAAAGGCGTTTGTTCCAATTGTATGCATCAACTTGCTTAGGAGTGGAGAAGGAAAGTCAGAATGTATTTTAGTTCAACATTTTGAGAAATCTTTAAACTACATAAAGTCAACTGGAAAACTTCCTTATACTCGAATTCAATTGATAAATTATGACTGGCATGCCAGTATAAAGTTAAGAGGTGAACAGCAAACCATCGAAGGATTATGGAAACATCTAAAAGCACCCACTATTTCCATAGGCATTTCTGAAGGAGATTTTTTGCCTTCACGAGAAAGAATTAAGGACTGCAGAGGAGAAATTATCTACAATGATGACTTTGAAGGTGCTTTCTGCTTAAGATCACGTCAAAATGGTGTGATACGTTTGAACTGTGCTGATTCTTTGGATAGGACAAATGCTGCAAGTTATTTTGGCTCCCTCCAGGTTTTTGTGGAGCAGTGTAGGCGGCTTTGTATATCACTTGATAGTGATTTGGCATTTGGTTACCAGTCAATGAGTACTTATGGTGGCTATACAGCTCCTCTGCCACCAGGCTGGGAGAAGAGATCTGATGCAGTAACAGGGAAAACTTTTTATATTGATCACAATACTAGGACCACAACATGGACGCATCCGTGTCCTGATGAACCTTGGAAGAGATTTGATATGGCATTTGAGGAGTTCAAGAGGTCAACAATTTTATCACCAGTATCCCAGCTTGCTGATATTTTTCTGCTTGCGGGTGATATTCATGCAACACTTTATACCGGTTCGAAAGCTATGCATAGCCAAATCCTCAGCATCTTCAATGATGATGCAGGAAAATTCAAACAATTTTCTGCAGCACAGAATATGAAAATTACTTTGCAGAGGAGATATAAAAATGCAGTTGTAGACAGCTCTCGTCAAAAGCAACTTGAGATATTTCTTGGAATGAGACTATTCAAGCATCTTCCATCAGTTTCTTTTCACCCTCTTAATGTATGTTATTCTGGGACTGCTCTGGATCAGTTGTAGTGATAATAATTTCATTAATTTCTATGCTTCTTTTTGTGCTAGGTTCATCTAACAAGTTGCAACAAGTAGTTTTAACTGCCATAGGTTAATTTAAGGGAATTTTAACGAAAAGCACCCGGTACTGTTCACTTTAACGAAAAACCACATTTTTACACTAAAAAGTCAATCCTGGTACTATTCACTTTACCCTTTATTTTGTCCTTAT